CTTATTATGCTTATTTCTGTGTGTGTATGTATATGTATATATACATATATATATGTATATATATATACACATATATATATATATATATATATATATATATATATATATATATGTGTGTGTGTGTCTATATATATATACCCCGCCCCGATTCGACGAACGCCAGAACAGAAATGATGGCAGCAGCAGACGTGACGGACGATGGGCAACTCGCTTCTTCTTCATCATATGTGTGAAGCACGAGCCAGGCGCCGGCAGGATAGACTGCCGGAGACGAGAGGTACAGGCATTGACCACCGAAACGCGCAGCAGGCGAGGCACATACAGATGAGGTCCCAAAGAAGAAGGACGAGATAAAAAGGATTCAAGTGAGGGCGGCATGCGGGTGGGTGCACTTGAGCACAGATGCCAGCGGCAGGCACGGGCTGGCATTCGAGAAGTGCGGCATTCTCAACCCAGGGCTCTGCATAACGTTGTGAAAACTGTCCAGCCCGCCCCGATTCGACGAGTGCCAGAACAGAAATGATGGCAGCAGCAGACGTGACAGACGATGGGCAACTCGCTTCTTCTTCTTCATATGTGCGAAGCACGAGCCAGGCGCCGGCAGGATAGACTGCCGGAGACGAGAGGTACAGGCATTGACCACCGAAACGTGCAGCAGGCGAGGCACATACAGATGAGGCCCCAAACCCCATAAGGAAGTACTGGCCAGGGAGCTGTAGCGACAGGGCCGAAGAGTTTAAAAGGCAGCTCGATGTGATTAGGAAGGCGACTTGCATACTAAGCTAGCCATGGCCTGCCTAGGCCTCTGCAATACAGCGTCTCTGACAATTCTAGCCAACACCGTGCACTGTCTAGCGGGGTAGGCGGCAGCCAATGCAGTGCATTTACAGCCCTCAGGGGCCTGGCCTGTGAGAATTGTGTGTCTGTTGCCAGTGCGAGAGCAAATCCCCCTGCGGCCTTCGCAGAGCCGATCGAGACCGAAGAGCGGCCCCGTCTGCCAAGCCGCGATCCTTGTGCGTTTCTGCCAGGAGGTCCCGAATTGGCATTGGTCAAGATCGCACACACGAGCGTTCTTTGAGATGATGAGGGGCGCAAGGGGCTTGGCATGCCACATTGAGGAGCTGGCGGGATTTTCAAGCAGTGCTGGTGTGTTAAGCGTGCAGCACAAACGGATGATGCGGCATGCGAAGTAAAAAGAAGCGCTGCCTGTGGCCAGCCTCGTGGCCTCAGAGGTCGAGAGGCCGCTGATGCCCATGGCCTGGGTGCGTGTCCTGAGCGGCTTCCGGAGAGCCCGCGACCACGTCGTGCACGGCGTTCCGAGGAAGACCGCCGCGACTGCGCGGCTGCGGAGCCAGCCGGTCACCACCCGCTCGCGGCAGAGGCGGTCTTCCAGAGGCGACTGCCGCACGTCCAAGCCGAGCGCCGAGAGGCCCAGGCGACGGGCGGCAGCTGCGAGATGCCCGCTGCCGCTGAAGAGTTCCAGCGCGACGCGCCGCCGGCACAGGGGGCCGAGGCTGACAGCAGCTCCGAGGCGTCGCCGCAGGTGATCGGCACGCTCGGAGCCCCGCAATGGCGGCTGGGTCTGCCCGGCGCAGGCGCCAGCGGCGCTGCCGGCAGGGCTGGCCGCGCCCATGCCCGGCCGGCAGGGCGCCGCCTCACCCGCCGGGGCTTGCTGTCTGGCCCGGACAGGACGGCGGACGCCAGGCTGGCCGGGATGAGCCGCTGCAGCCCGGCGCCGAGGAAGCCCTTAACTCTCGACCAGTAGGCAGAAGTTCTGCGCGACCAGGTCGCCGAACGCGTGCACGTCTGGGCGGGCCCCCTGCAGCTCGCGCAAGAAGGCCGTCTCCTTGGCGCACCGCCTCATTGAGGGCGGCGCAGCCCAGCGCCCCCGTCGGAAGACTTGCTCTTGCGACCTCCGCTGGGGCAACAAATCGTCGCCCACCCCCCCGCATCGCATGCCATAAAAGTGAGGGCGCAGCTGGGAGATCCCAAGCGCCACCGCTGCCAGCGCGAACATCCTGTTCAGCTCCGAGAGGGAGAAGCTCCACAGCGGCGTGCCTGGACCCCCTCTGCAACGGAGGGCCATGAGCACCGGCACCAGGCACAAGTCGAGGTCGAAGAGGATCGCCTCGTCGAAGGAGCCCGTCTTGCCCGCCTGACCGCGGTCCGCCGGGTGCAGCAGCAAGCCCCGAAACTGGCAAGCTGGACTTGCCAGCGCTGACGGCTGCACAATGCTGTCCGTCGCGAGCCGCTGAGCCTCGGCGGGCCTGAGGTGCGCCGAGAACGCGATCGCCAGCCGCGCTGCCATGGGCGCCTGCCGCCAGGCAATCAGGACGCCAGCCAGAGCAAACATGACCGCCCGAGGGATCGGCAACCGAGTGAGGGTTGGGGCCCGCCTCCGCCACGCCTGCGTCGCACGCGAGGCGCGGGGCAGGGGCGGGCTCACCTGCCTCGGGAGCCCGGGAGCGAAGTGCGCCAGCGCCGCGACAGTCTGCGACCCGACGCTCGCCGCCGCCCCCGAGATGTACCGAGAGGTGAAGTACTCGGCGAGCAGGTCGTCTAACTCGCGCAGGTTGCTCCAGTCCCGGCGGCGGTCCGAGCAGTGCGCGATGAACGTCAGCAGGAGCTGGCGATAGAGGGCCTCCGCGGTCGGCCGCGCCGCCAGCTACTCCGGGAGCGTCATGGAGCCCACAAGCGTCCGCCCGCGCGCCGCTGCCGACGCCAGCTTCGCGCGGTGGCGCGTCCAGGCTGAGGGCGCAGGCCCCGCCCGTCGCGGCATGGCCCGCGCCTCGCGCAGGCGCGCGAACAGCAGCACGAGCACCGCGGCGCCCATGGCGAGTCCTCGCATGACTGAGCTGACGATGGCCGTTGAACCAGCCGAGCCCCCCTCGGCTGAGGGCATCAGCTGGGCCGCGCTCTGAGGCGATCCAGCGAACGAAGAGCCTCGAGCCCGCGGCAAGCGACAATGCGCACAACTGATTCAAGCACGACCTCAAATGTTGCGACCGAGCCCCCCCTTCGCGCAGGCGAGAGGAAGCGGGAGGTCGTCGACGAGCGCGACCAAGCGTGCCCCATGAGCGCCCAAACTGCGGAGCTGATGCCGATGCGATGCGACCAGAGCCCCCCCCTCCAAGTAGAGTACGTTGGCCCCCGTAGAGACCGACTGGGCTGATACCGAGCTCCAAGCGCCGTCCCGAGTAATATGACCGGGGACCTCGTCCATCTCCCAGGGGTCGCCCAAGACTGCATCAGGATGAGCCCACGTGGCGCCACTGGGAGGCTGAGCGAGCACCTCGTTGAATCCCATGAGCTCCTCGTAGGGGTCCCCGTGCTGGCCCATGGAGTCGTAGGGGTCCTCGTGCTGGCCCGTGGGCTCCTCGTAGGGGTCCACATGCTGGCCCATGAGCTCCCCGCAAGGGTCCCCGTGCTGGCCTTGTGGATCACGACGGGCATCGAATGCACCCGGAAGCGGCGGACATGAATGGAGGCCCGCAGGGCTGTCATGTTGGACGTCTGGCTTCAAGCGCTCCGAGGTAGAGTGGCAATTAGCAATGGCCACATTTTCTGACACAGGGCTGGGCTGGTCTAGACCGCCCTCTCGCAGTGACCGAATGCGGGCCTGGTGCCCGCCCTCCACTTTAAACCTCCACCTCTCTGAGCAACGGCCCATAGCGGCGAAGACGGCGCGAGGTGCGCGGCGCCGCATCACCCCGAGCCCGAAGGGCGAAGCATCGCTGGCCGTCATCGCGCGATGCCAGCCGGAGGCGAGGTCGCAGGACAGGAGGGGCAGCAAATCCCGAATGGTGACCAGCTCCTTTGCCGCCGACGCCCACATCCTGCCCTGCCTCGCGCCGTGCGCCGCCGCGAAGCTGTAGGCGCTATGGAGCACAGTGGGGGCTTCGCGGCGTATCATCGATGACCATGTGACGCGTCCCAAAACAATGCGCACCATGTGGCCACTGCACCAGCCCCGACGAAGGAGCCCTGAGATCGCTGCGCGCAGCCGCCAGATGTTGCGCGGCTTGATGCGCAGGAACCTCCCATGCTTCAGGCTGAGGCCCAAGAACTCCGCGTCCCGGGCGGCGGGCTCGATCTCGTGCACTGGCAGCCCTCGGGCGCGAAAGGCGGCCACGAGCTGTGCCACGACCCGGTCGACCGCGCCCTTGTCAGCGCCGAAGGCCAAGATGCTGTCGACGTCGGCGCCGACGCCAACAGAGACGGGGTCAGTGACGGCCGCGCCCGGCTGGCCGTCCAGCGCGGTCACGGTCCTCTCACGGCCGCTCGCAGCTAGGACTGCGCGCGCTGCAGACTGGCAGAAGTGCAGCGCCCGCGAGAAACCCATCGGGAGGGCGGTCACCATGGGCGCCACGCGCGTGGACGGGTCGAAATCCAGGTCGATTAAGCCCATCTCCTGTAGCATGGCCACCGAGATCGAAGGCAAGGTAAACATCGACTCCATCCGGCAGGGCAGCCGCATGTGGTAGAACGCGCACTCCAGGTCGCACGTTGAGATGAACATGCCATCGGCGGGGGCCTCGATAGAGCCGAACGACGCGGCAGAAGGAAGCCTGGTAACTGGCGAACCCAAAAACTGGTGAAACCTGGTAACTGGAAGCCCCAAGACGTCCACAAAAAGCTCCTGGATGGGCCACTCAAGTCAAGATTCAAACCGGCCCTAATGCGTGTCCAAGCTGCCCGTCGTGGGTTCCGTTGGCAGAGGGCGCAGTCCTTCAGATGCCAACGCGGATGGATATCAACAGCACGGCAGCGCACGGAGGAGGCAGGGGAGGAGGAGGAGGAGAAGGAGAAGAAGGAGGGGCGCCAGCAACACCAGCAGGAGAGAAGGGAGGAATCGAGGCAGGGAGCTTAGCAGGGATGAGGGATGAGGGGGGTCGCGGGGGTGGAAGACTAAGAGACAAAGGATTGGAAGGGGAGAGAGTGCAACTGGCTTGGGACGGTTCCAGCGGCGGCCCTTCTTTGACCACTCACTTATAAGCCTTCTACGACTCCTCGTCTTCGGGGTCCTGCACGGCGGTTTGGAGAAGGACAACCAGGATAATCCCCCCCTTTCATCCTTACCCCGCCGTCCATCCCTCACTCCTCCTCCTGCTTGACCCGCCTCCCCGCCTGCTCCGAAACCTCCCGAGACGGAAAAGCTTACCCCCTCGAAGAAAACACGCGCGCTGCGCGCTTGCGGAGCATATGGACGCACCCCCCCCGAAGGTATTAACGGGGGGGAATGGCGGCCCTAATCCCTGATTTTGTGGGCCTGTCGGAAGGGCCTACACATTTGGGGGGCGCGCTCGAGGATGCACTGCGGTGCCTACGACCAGCCCCACTGAGGGCGTGTCGCCGCGATGCCCATCTCTTCAGGGCGGCCTGATTTTTGTCGGGGGGGCTCCAGGGATCGGGGGAAAGAGAAGAGGATCGAGCGCGACCTCCGACGCCATGGGAATCCCACGTCGGCCCCCGCCCCCGGGGGAACGGGCCCTCCGCCGCGGGCGCCGCAGACGAGGCCCCTCGCGACTCCCCCGCAGCGCCCAGGCGACATCAGGAGAAGAAGCAGCTCTGGCCATCGCTCGGACGTCCATTTCCTGTGTTTTTTTCGCGAAGTGATCAAGGATGCTCCTCGATGGCCCTCGCCGAAGGAAAAATGCACACGTCCGAGCGATGCCAAAAGCTCGACAAACAGAAACGTTTGGAGCCCCGCGCGGGTGTCCCGGACCTGCGCGGGACCCCCCCCTCCCCGGCGCACGGAACGCGCCGGGGGGGGGGGCGCCGGAGACGCCGCTAACGGGGCGGCCAGCGCCGACCCAAGACAAATCCGCGCGGGGCCCCAGAAGCGCAGGCTTATTCTGTATAGTGCATGGATATACTTATATTACACATATAGCCCGCCCCGATTCGACGAGTGCCAGAACAGAAATGATGGCAGCAACAGACGTGACTGACGATGGGCAACTCGCTTCTTCTTCATCATATGTGCGAAGCACGAGCCAGGCGCCGGCAGGATAGACTGCCGGAGACGAGAGGCACAGGCATTGACCACCGAAACGTGCAGCAGGCGAGGCACACACAGATGAGGCCCCAATGAAAAAGGACGAAATACAAGGATTCAAGTGAGGGCGGCACGCGGGCGGGTGCACTCGAGCACAGATGCCAGCGGCAGGCACGGGCTGGCATTCGAGAAGTGCGGCATTCTCAACCCAGGGCACTGCATAACGTTTTGAAAACTGTCCAGCCCGCCCCGATTCGACGAGTGCCAGAACAGAAATGATGACAGCAGCAGACGTGACCGACGATGGGCAACTCGCTTCTTCTTCATCATATGTGCGAAGCACGAGCCAGGCGCCGGCAGGATAGACTGCCGGAGACGAGAGGCACAGGCATTGACCACCGAAACGTGCAGCAGGCGAGGCACATACAGATGAGGTCTCAAACCCCATAAGGAAGTACTGGCCAGGGAGCTGCAGCGACAGGGCCGAAGAGTTTAAAAGGCAGCTCGATGTGATTAGGAAGGCGACTTGCAGAATAAGTCAGCCATGGCCTGCCTAGGCCTCTGCAATACAGCGTCTCTGACAATTCTAGCCAACACCGTGCACAGTCTAGCGGGGTAGGCGGCAGCCAATGCAGTGCATTTACAGCCCTCAGGGGCCTGGCCTGTGAGAATTGTGTGTCTGTTGCCAGTGCGAGAGCAAATCCCCCTGCGGCCTTCGCAGAGCCGATCGAGACCGAAGAGCGGCCCCGTCTGCCAAGCCGCGATCCTTGTGCGTGTCTGCCAGGAGGTCCCGAATTCGCATTGGTCGAAATCGCGCACACGAGCGTTCTTTGAGATGATGAGGGGCGCAAGAGGCTTGGCATGCCACATTGAGGAGCTGGCGGGATTTTCAAGCAGCGCTGGTATGTTAAGCGTGCTGCACAAACGGATGATGCGGCATGCGAAGTAAAAAGAAGCGTTGCCTGTGGCCTGCCTCGTGGCCTCAGAGGTCGAGAGGCCGCTGATGACCATAGCCTGGGTGCGTGTCCTGAGCGGCTTCTGGAGAGCCCGCGACCACGTCGTGCGCGGCGTTCCGAGGAAGACCGCCGTGACTGCGCGGCTGCGGAGCCAGCCGGTCACCACCCGCTCGAAGTCGCGGCAGAGGTGGTCTTCCAGAGGCGAATGCCGCGCGTCCAAGCCGAGCGCCGAGATGCCCAGGCGACGGGCGGCAGCTGCGAAATGCCCGCTGCCGCTGAAGAGTTCCAGCACGACGCGCCGCCGGCACAGGGGGCCGAGGCTGACAGCAGCTCTGAAGCGTCGCCGCAGGTGATCGGCACGCTCGGAGCCCCGCAATGGCAATGGCGGCCGGGCCCGCCCGGCGCAGGCGCCAGCAGCGCTGCCGGCAGGGCTGGCCGCGCTCATGCGCGGCCGGAGAGGCGCCGCCTCACCCGCCGGGGCTTGCTGTCTGGCCCGGACAGGACGGCGGGCGCCAGGCTGGCCGGGATGAGCCGCTGCAGCCCGGCGCCGAGGGAGCCCTTAATTCTCGACCAGTAGGCGGAAGTTCTGCGCGACCAGGTCGCCGCACGCGTACACGTCCGGGTGGGCTCCCTGCAGCTCGCGCAAGAGGGCCGTCTCTTTGGCGCACCGCCTCATTGAGGGCGGCACAGCCCAGCGCCCCCGTCGGAAGACTTGCTCTTGCGACCTCCGCTGGGACAACAAATCGTCGCCCCCCCCCCCGCGTCGCATACCATATCCCAAGCGCCACCGCTGCCAGCGCGAACATCCTGTTCAGCTCCGAGAGGGAGAAGCTCCACAGCGGCGCGCCTGGACCCCCCCTGCAACGGAGGGCCATGAGCACCGGCACCAGGTACAAGTCGAGGTCGAAGAGGATCGCCTCGTCCAAGGAGCCCGTCTTGCCCGCCTGACCGCGGTCCGCCGGGCGCAGCAGCAAGCCCCAAAACTGGCAGGCTGGACCTGCCAGCGCTGACGGCTGCACAGTGCTGTCCGTCGCGAGCCGCTGAGCCTCGGCGGGCCTGAGGCACGCCGAGAACGCGATCGTCAGCCGCGTTGCCATGGGCGCCTGCCGCCAGGCAATCAGGACGCCAGCCAGCGCAAACATGACCGCCCGAGGGATCGGCAACCGAGTGAGGGTTGGGGCCCGCCTCCGCCACGCCTGCATCGCGCGCGAGGCGCGGGGCAGGAGCGAGCTCACCTGCCTCGGGAGCCCAGGAGTGAAGTGCGCCAGCGCCGCGACAGTCTGCGACCCGACGCTCGCCGCCGCCCCCGAGATGCACCGAGAAGCGAAGTACTCGGCGATCAGGTCGTCTAACTCGCGCAGGTTGCTCCAGTCCCGGCGGCGGTCCGAGCAGCGCGCGATGAACGTCAGCAGGAGCTGGCGATAGACGGCCTCCGTGGTCGGCCGCGCCGCCAGCTGCTCCGGGAGCGCCAGAGAGCCCACAAGCGTCCGCCCGCGTGCCGCTGCCGACGCCAGCTTCGCGCGGCGGCGCGCCCGGGCTGAGGGCGCAGGCCCCGCCCGTCGCGGCATGGCCCGCGCCTCGCGCAGGCGCGCGAACAGCAGCGCGAGCGCCGCGGCGTCCATGGCGAGTCCTCGCATGACTGAGCTGACGATGGCCGTTGAACCAGCCGAGCTTCCCTCGGCTGAGGGCATCAGCTGGGCTGCGCTCTGAGGCGATCCAGCGTAAAAAGAGCCTCGAGCCCGTGGCGAGCGACAATGCGCACAACTGATTCAAGCACGACCTTCAATGTTGCGACCGAGCCCTCCCCTTCGCGCGGGCGAGAGCCAGCGGGAGGTTGCTGACGAGTGCGACCAAGCGCGCCCCATGAGCGCCCAAACTGCGGAGCTGATGCCGATGCGATGTGACCAGAGCCTCCTCCTCCAAGTAGAGTACGCTGGCCCCCGTAGAGACCGACTGGGCTGATACCGAGCTCCAAGCGCCGTCCCGAGTAATATGACCGGGGACCTCGTCCATCTCCCAGGGGTCGCCCAAGACTGCATCAGGATGAGCCCACGTGGCGCCACTGGGAGGCTGAGCGAGCACCTCGTTGAATCCCATGAGCTCCTCGTAGGGGCCCCCGCGCTGGCCCATGGAGTCGTGGGGGTCCTCGTGCTGGCCCGTGAGCTCCTCATAGGGGTCCACATGCTGGCCCATGAGCTCCCCGCAAGGGCCCCCGTGCTGGTCTTGTGGATCACGACGGGCATCGAATGCACCCGAAAGCGGCGGACATGAATGGAGGCCCGCAGGGCTGTCATGTTGGACGTCTGGCTTCGAGCGCTCCGAGGTAGAGTAGCAGTTAGCAATGGCCACACTTTCTGACACAGGGCTGGGCTGGTCTAGACAGCCCTCTCGCAGTGACCGAACGCGGGCCTGGTGCCCGCCCTCCACTTTAAACCCCCACCTCTCGGAGCAACGGCCCATAGCGGCGAAGACGGCGCGAGGTGCGCGGCGCCGCATCACCCCGAGCCCGAAGGGCGAAGCATCGCTGGCCGTCATCGCGCGACGCCAGCCGGAGGCGAGGTCGCAGGACAGGAGGGGCAGCAAATCCCGAATGGTGACCAGCTCCTTTGCCGCTGACGCCCACATCCTGCCCTGCCTCGCGCCGCGCGCCGCCGCGAAGCTGTAGACGCTGTGGAGCACAGTGAGGGCTTCGCGGCGCATCATCGATGACCATGTGACGCGCCCCAAAACAATGCGCATCATGTGGCCACTGCACCAGCCCCGACGAAGGAGCCCTGAGATCGCTGCGCGCAGCCGCCAGATGTTGCGCGGCTTGATGCGCGGGAACCTCCCGCGCTTCAGGCTGAGGCCCAAGAACTCCGCGTCCCGGGCGGCGGGCTCGATCTCGTGCACTGGCGGCCCTCGGGGGCGAAAGGCGGCCGCGAGCTGTGCCGCGACCCGGTCGACCGCGCTCTTGTCAGCGCCGGAGGCCAAGACGTTGTCGACGTAGGCGCCGACGCCAACAGAGACGGGGTCAGTGACCACCACGCCCGGCTGGCCGTCCAGCGCGGTCACGGTCCTCTCACGGCCG